CTTTGGGCCCTCCCTATTGTTTTTGTTTGGTTGTTTGTTTTTTGTTTGTTTTGCTTGACAGTATTATTATTATTATGTTTTTAACTGATCACAGTAGTCACAGTAGATAGCTTCAGTTCTCAAATTAGTTTGTAGAGCTGCTATGCCTGGATCCTAGTTTAGACTTTTATACATCGGAGTATTTGGCATTAAAACTGAACTGGTAGGCACAATTTCCCTCAGAACACAACAGTCAATCAAGTTTATCCAGAGTTTCACTGTGGAGTTTCTTACCACTATTCCATGACCTCAACTGATTAATTCCTTGATGTGTATATATATATATATATATATATATATATATATATATATATGAATATGATAAATAAATACAATAATGAAAATGGAACCAGATGATATGAAATCTTTGATAGCATAATGGTCAGCATAGATTCCCTTTCCACAATGCTTCTTAGTATATATTTGGAAGCAGAAGCTAAAGACAGATTGGAGCCTAAACTCTGTGACCTGAATATCTTCAAGTAGTAAAGAAAAAAATAATTTATACATGTGTCGATGGGTTGGAAATGAGAGTCATGATTTAGCAGAAGAAGATAGCTAGTACTCCAGAGAAGAGCTTAAAAGGCAGTGAGAGCAGACCAAAGAAAATCATTCTCATATTTAGGGAAAAGGAAAAAAAAACACACAGTCTAGACCACACATTTTAGTCAGTGAGTTATTTTCCTGGTGAGTGTGGGGGACATTTGAGTCCTGAGTAGGTGTGAGTGACGAAAACAACTTTGCAGTTTTCCAAGACTGAAAAAAGTTAAAAACAAAAACAAAAAACAAAACATAAGAAACTGGGAGAGATGTCATGCCAGCCTAAGCTATCTGTTTAACCGGAACTTAAATTTAAAGTCACACAGAACACATAGGAACAATCAGGACACAGCTACAGAGAAGCACAAGTGTGTGTGTTTGTGTGTGTGTGTGTGTGTGTGTGTGTGTGTGTGTGTGTGTGCATGTGTGTATAAATCATAATTATCCAGAAAAACTGAACAGATAATAATTCTCATGTCTTTCATTAATATACTACAATCTCCTTGATGTGACTTTTGTAAAAGTAACTGGAAATTTATCTACCCTTTCCTGCGTTCTTGATGGATGGTATTTTCATCATTATTTTGTCTTATTTGTTTTGTTTCTTCATCATATTTGTTTTTCTTTTTCCCCCTACGAACTGAAAGATCATTTCTTTATGCTAGGAGGAATATAACTGCCAAAGATTTAAGGCTATTATGTCAGATTATATAAAACAAATGGAATATTTTTCTAATTCTTTAAACTATTTGTTCAACCAAGGACAGATATGGGGAATCTCTATAGTCTATAGTTACAATTATAGTATCTATTTTTTTGTCAAAACATTCAAAGTTTTTCTCTTTGTTCATTGAAAAATATATTGAGAACTTTCAGCTTTATTCTTGCAAAGTATTGATAAATAAAATTGTACCGAATAGATGCTAAATATTTTCTCCCCATTGATTGAAACAATTCATAGCAGCATGACATTAATGCCCTAGGAAGTGTGCCACTGCCCTGGTGAGTGTTGCTTGGCTTGCAATACTTAGTGTTTGTTCTTTACTCCAAAAGGGCCATGAGTAGCATGGTTTATGATGTTGAGGGATCCTGGTATGCTGCATTGTTCTACTTGGTAACATCATGCTTCAGGACCTTGTAGCAATATGTGATGGAGAAATAAGTCTTCTATACACATTTGAAGGCAAATGATTAAAAGTCCAGTTGTGCTTTGTTTGAAAGAGCATCATGAAGTAAGATGAATATTTAAGCAGTAGTATTTTGAGTTTTCTTTTATTAATATTATATTCCCATTTAGTGATATAAAGCAAAAATCCTTAATTGATATATGGTACATTGATTTTTTAACTTTTTTTTGTTTATTCTTTTACTTTAAATATTGACATGACTTTAAATATGACATGAAGAGATGATTTATAATAAAGGAGTTATACTGAAAATGTTTGTGGATGAATATATAAACATTTTTTCTTATAGTGACCAAATACCTGCTGTAAAATCAGTGTCTAATTAAAGCTAATATTCATTTTAAACAAAGATAAAGAATGAAAGGACTTTATACCTCTAATATCTTACAAATATTACTGTTTTTATCATGAGGTTCCTGTGTTTCTCTTATGAACTTGTCACTCGGCAGTTTCATCTCATTTGCACCTTTTTCCATGTATCTGTCTGCTGGCAGCTAGAAATTTTAGGTAGGCCCTTTGAAGTATAAGATTTATTTCTGTCAATTTGACTCTATCTTTTCTTCATTCTTGCCAACTGAACAGAAAGAACAAACCATGCTATCTTTAATTTCACACCTTCAGAAATAAATTTCTCTGAGTTTTATGGATAGTATGTAATATCTGAAGCTATATATATGCTCCACTTATTGAAAATCAGTATTATTCTTTGCTGGATGTATTTCTATGGTATTAAAAATGCTTAATTATATAGAGTTACTTTGTTCAAGTAGATTCTGTACAAACTTACAAAATTTCTTAAATTCAACTGATATTTTAAAAAACGAATGTCTAATGTGCTGCTCTAGAATATGATATGGTATTTTCATAATTAGAGTATTTCAATGGGAATAAGTCCTTTTTATCAAAAACATGTTTTGGAATCAATATGAAGGATTAAATATATATTATTAATTTTGAGTTAATAGAATTCCTTTCAAATTTTATTACATCATTGTGTCATTTGCAACGTGATAATATTAAATAAATTAAGTGACTATGTTCTCAAATGTAATATATTTCTTCTGTGTGCTTGGTGTTCTGTGTTCTTAAATTCTTTATTTTAAAATTATACTTCTTTTCAGTTATAGTTGATTTACCTCGTTAGCTTTCATCTCTACAAGAAATACCTGCTCTAATTAAATCATAGGAAGAAATGTTAAACCTTAGTTTTAAATTCTAATGGATTTGGTCTTTGACCAGTTTAGCCCCACAACTCTTAGCCCTGGGATTCACCAGCAGTACTGGCAATGTTATGTGGTGGAGAAATACTGCTTACCTGACCAGAGAGAAAAATAGGATGTTAGGCCCACTCATTCTCTTTGAAGGAACCTGTGAAAAGAATTAATGGTTTCTTGCTAGGCCTCAATTGTTTTATAGTCTTTTTATTTAATTTGTTCATACAATATATTTTGAACCTATTTTTTTTCCTCTCCCCGAGCCCTTTCCAGTTCCTTCTCATCTTCCTACTTAACTTTTTAATGATCTTTCTCCCTTTCAAAAAAGAAAAAAAAAATCTGCAATCAGCAAACAAAACAAACAAAAACAAAATAAGCCAAAAATCACTAAACACAATGAAACCAAAAACAAGCCACACAACCTAAAAAATATGGAGGTTGTTTTTTGTATTAGTTAACTATATCTGAGCATTGGGGCTTTCCTTTGAAACAGATTTCCTCTTTCCCAGCAGGCAGTGGCTGTGAATAGTTTTTTTTTTTTTTTGCTAGGGATGGCACTTTTTGTTCAATTCCTCTTCTCAGTGGTGGAATTTTGTCTGGTTTGAACCTGTGCTGGTCTTGTGTGCTGTCACAATCTCTGTAAATTCATATGTAAATCAGTCCTATTCTGTATGGAAAATGTTTCATCCATTATTTCTAGCTCTTACAATCTTCCTTTTTCCTACTATGCTTAGCCATGAGGGAAAGGATTTGGTAAAAATAAATAAAAACAAGCAAGCAAACAAAAAACCCTATGTAGCTAAGAGTGCTCTAAAATCTCTCAACCTCTGAACATTGCCCAGTTGTGGGTCTCTTTGTTAGTTTCCATCTAATGCATGAAGAAGTTTCTCTGATCAGAGCTGAGGGCTGTACTCATCTATGGTTATATTAACATGTCACTAATAAACATGTTGTCACCTGGTTCCTTTGTGAAAATAATATTATTGTACTAGTTAAACCATTAACTGTTCAACATGGCAATATATTCCAAATATCTCTGTGGGCTGGGATCAAACTTTTAGTACGTAGAACTTTTAGACACTATCTATACCATAATTTTAATCACATTTAGAGACTTAACTTTGTTCCATCTAATCCATTTTCCTTATTTCTGTTTACAAAATATAAATCTCTATCTTAAAACTTATTTTTCCTCTTTTGATCATTTCATTCACATTTTTCTATCTTTGGTTTAATCCGGTTATATACATGACAATTGGAAAAATAGAGCCATAGTGTAAGACCCTCAGAATGAGGAGTCTTCCATGTTCGGTCGATACCCCAAGAACTCAATGTCCAGTCCAGTTGCTGCAAAACGCAAGAGGCTTTAATGAACAGGAAACGTTTGCGCAAACGGGCTTCTCCAGCACGCAGGATAGAGAGAAGCCCCCTCTCCTGGGCCCAGGTGTTTTTAAAGGCAAACCCACAAGCTTAGGGAGGGGGTGGGACCCTCTGTCCATTGAGTAAGTGACCCTTGGATGCCGGATGGTCTGCTATTAGGGTCAGCAGACCTTATGGCCTCAGGTGTGCTAATTAATCTTGTCTGGGCAAACCAGAGTTACAGCTATCTCTTGATCCTATTTACCACCTGTTGACTCACAGGAAAGGAGGGGCAGTGTGAATTCTTCTTATCTCAGGGCCCTGTGAGAGGAAGCTAGCAAATTCCAAGGAACAGAGATTGGTTTCTAGGTTAGTCCATCATTAACATTACTTCTTAGGTCTTTCAATAGCTTAGTGGGAAAGTATATTCTCAGTGCATGTATGAGACATCAGATTGAATCCCTAACATGAAATTTAGAAAATCAAAATATTTTTGTGTATCTCTTCTCCCCAAACTTTTTTCATAACTTATTTCCATTATACATATGAAGGCAAATACATTTCTTTAGGTAAATTAGGTTTTATATTTTTGGTATATGTCATTTTCCTTTTTACTTTTTGAGTTTCCAGTTTTTTTCACATCTATTTTTTTCTTCTACAGTGGGAAGAGATTGGAGAAGTTGATGAAAACTATGCCCCTATCCACACATACCAAGTGTGCAAAGTTATGGAACAGAATCAGAATAATTGGCTGTTGACAAGTTGGATCTCCAATGAAGGTGCTTCCAGAATTTTTATAGAGCTCAAATTTACTCTAAGAGATTGTAACAGCCTCCCTGGAGGACTGGGCACTTGTAAAGAGACGTTTAACATGTATTATTTTGAATCTGATGATGAGAATGGGAGAAATGTTAAAGAGAACCAGTACATCAAGATCGACACCATTGCTGCTGATGAGAGCTTTACGGAACTTGATCTTGGAGACCGTGTCATGAAATTAAATACAGAAGTCAGAGATGTAGGCCCTCTGAGTAAAAAGGGATTTTATCTCGCTTTCCAGGATGTCGGCGCTTGCATTGCTCTGGTTTCTGTGCGTGTGTACTATAAAAAATGTCCTTCTGTGGTAAGACACTTGGCTGTCTTCCCTGACACCATCACTGGAGCTGATTCTTCGCAGTTGTTAGAGGTGTCAGGCTCCTGTGTCAACCATTCTGTGACAGATGATCCTCCCAAAATGCATTGCAGTGCTGAAGGGGAGTGGCTGGTTCCCATTGGAAAATGCATGTGCAAGGCCGGATATGAAGAGAAAAACGGCACCTGCCAAGGTAAGCCTTTTGCTGTGGAGTTGTCATGGCTTTGTACTTTTCTTGGAATATGTGTGTGTGTAGTCCCTCAGTGATTAAAACAAGTGACCTTTTATTTTGTTCATTTATGAAGATTATTTCTCTTCAAGTTTTAGTTCTTCTCTGAATTTCAAAATTTTCAAGCAATGATGAAAGATTCAATACACTACTTTGTATACGTATTGAATGCTCAGAGAGTGTGTCATTTTCAGTATGATGTTTTCATATTCACACGATTCTCAGATTTACTGTGAATGACGCAATTAATGGACTGCTATCAACTACTGTAGGATTGTTGTCTGTCTACCGCTGTGGTTTTCCATCATGAAGTTATTTTTATCCTTATTTTGCTGTACAGAATTTCAATGCAAATATCTTAGAGGAGTCTTGTCCTGGCAAGCTTTTAACTTCCGTTTAAAAATGCTTCGAAAAGGTTCAGCCACATGAACTTCTCAGAAAAACATTTGTCACCTTGCAGAGCTTAGCTTACTACGTTGTTTACATATGGTTGCAATTATATGCTTGCTTTTCAAAATTTATAGTTCAATTTTAAATGCATAATAAGCAGTGCCCCCATGAAGATATGTGTTTGGAGACAGCACCAGTACAGAATGGCCATTTCAAAGCAATTTGCACTTGGAGATTTTTTTTTTCTGTTTTAATTTTTCTTTTAAATTGAAACTTGATCATGCATGCTTCCTCATTCATTTGAAAATGCTCTCAGTAAGCCCGCAGTAAGTTGTCCTTTTAGACTTGATTATTTATCAATGGCATTTTGAAATGGGGTAGTACTTTATGCCAGAGTGGAGAACAGTGTATAAGGAAACACATTTTTCCCCTTTGAAAATGTATGCTTTTACAGGTTTCAAACTGTTTTTGACATTCTGTCTTAATATTAAGTAGATGACAAGAGGTTTCTGTGTAATTCTGAGGGAAAAAACATAATGCTGAGCACCCCCCTCAATCCCTTCTGGTAGCTTTGTAAGTGTTCTGATTCCCTAAGTCCCTTGTATATCTACTAAACTGCCTGTCTTGCTCAAGTTTGACTGTAAATTGATCAAAGATGTAAGAAGACAAAAATACGTGATTTACCTATAACCATAATGAGGCTGGTTTATTCAATTATTTCAAAAACTCTTTCAAATAATAGTTTCCTTTTTCAAAATGAGCTCCTATTTTCAGACCTTACAATATTATTTATAAATAATTTTATGATAATTTTTAATGTAAACTATTCTTGGTGCACATACTCGTGAACACACAGACAAACTTAAGAATGTTTTCAAATGGACATTATGTTTCTAAGTTTGTTGGAGAAGTGAAACATAGTTCATTTCATTGGATTTATATAAAAGGTCTATCTAATACTTTGTCTTTTGTTTTTGAACAGTCACATTATTTTATAGTTTATTAAGTCATATATAATTGTATGATAGATAAATTAAATTAATGTTGACTATAGTTCATTATAAAATACTATTAGTTTACTATTAGTATCTTAATATTGGTTGTTGTCATTTTAAAGCAACAGCCTACTGGATTGATTACTTAGTAGAAGCTAAAGATGACTACTACAAAATTTGTTTTTATTCAAATTAACAGAGGGTATAGGAAGCTTGTGAATGCATGGAGGATACAATTTGAATTGAGATGAAAATATCCTGTTGGCACTTATCAGTGAAAGTGAAAAGTGTGTCTGACCAAATATGTGTTAGTGTGAGAACCTAACACTAATCTTTTCTTTCTCACCTCATACTCATCGTAACTGAGTAGGGAATAAAATGAGTGACAGTGGGATGAACTGGAAAGGTCATGTTGCAAAAAACAATAACAACAAAGAACCTTTAAACTATTCCATATTAATACAGTTTAGTTATTAAATACAGATGCACTTACATAGGGCCTGAGGTCAATTCCCAGCTCCCATATGGCAGCTTACAATTATTTGTTACTCCAATGCAAGATATCCAACATTGTCTCTGATAAAGGCCCTCCTCTATGTGCTAACCATATAAGCTATGCTCAGTTTCTCCAAAGCATTTTTTCCCATAGCATTACTTGTCCTATTATATAATTCTACTCTTGCCCTGTTCAATGGCCATCTGTCTCCATTATTCCTGACTAATTCCTACTCATCCTTCAGTTCTGTACTCTAGGTTCACTTCTTGAGGGATGCTATATGTCTGATCAGCATTGGGTCAAGGCTCACTCTTGTTTACTTACATGCTGCCTTTTCATTGAATCATTTAGATATATAATTTTTACTTAGTTTATTATTTATTATTTATTTAATGATTCCTTTTATTTCTATTATGCTGTTTGCTTCTTATGGTAAGAATGGTATATATTTGGATTAAGAAGTAAGAAAGAATTTGGAAATGAAGATAAAAGGCCATAGAGTCAATAAAGAGAAAAGACAATGTAAAAGAATGTAAAAGATGTGCAAAATACAGTTTGCTGATTTATTTTACATTTATAGTCACATACAGAAATGTTCTGTTGCAAATTATATTTTAAAAAATCATCTAATGCAATGCTTTTGTGGGCAAAGCCTCTGATACCTTAAATAGCCAGAGAAGAGTCACTTTCATGTTTCAAAATGATTGGCAATTCATGTAATCACCACTCTGGACAAGATCTCAGTCAATTTTGTCAAGCCACAAAAGTGGTCTACTGAAATGTATGTATAAAGTGGACTTACTACATAATAACATTTAATTACTCAGTCTCTCTGCCAAGCATATTAGGTTAAGGTTTATTTAAGGTTTTAATTATATCAGGAAGCTGAGGTTTGAATATATGTATTGTTATACATTATTGTATATGAATATTAGTAGAATTTTCCATGTGCTGGCCTGGTAAACCTGGTCAATATTGCTTGTGTGACCTCTTACCCTGTATGCATGATGGGATTGACCTAAAGGTTGTCAGAAAATGAATTTTAGGGTTGAGAGTGCTAGACAGTTAATTAACTATATGGTCTCATCCTTAATGATGACAGAGCACAGGTTGAGTGGACAAAGTTGTTAAGTAATACATGATCCTTTAACTTCATATCACTTGAAGTTCCCAGTGAACTTCCTTTAAAAGAAGTGGAAAGTATTAATCAGTGTTGGATCAAATAATGTAATACTTTAGTTTTTAGTTCATTAACTTAAAATGTGCTATACATCTGTGCAATGCTGAAATGCATGCCTCAAATTTCTATAACTACTGTAAGTATGCAAAATTCTTTCTTTGAAATGTTTTTTGTTCCCGGGGGGGAAAAATACGAACCCATTTCCATTTAGCCATGTCTGTTTCTTTACCTGTTATTTGTTATTATTTCTTGTATATTCTGTATTATTTTTTCCCTCAGGAGTCATATGATGTTTTTAGTACAAAATGGTTAGCAGAAGCCCATTTTGGAAGTTTCTGCTTTTTATTGAAATGGATGTGTTTGACAGAAGTAATTGAGTTCACATGAATCAAATGTTGCCTGCTGAGTTCTCTTGTGATTGTGTTGCTGACTTACTCACACGCAAAGCAAGACCACTAATCTTCATCAGTTGAGAGTGGAATGAAGTAGTAATTTGAAATTAGCCCCAGATAATTATGGTTTCACTTATATCAAATGGGGAAAAGAGATTTAGATTGTGGGTCACTGCCAAAACCAGTGAGAGTGAAGAAGGTATATAGTGCATGCAAAAATACAGGGTAAAGCAAGTTGCATGTCTAGAGCTACGGAGGGAAATTGCTTATTAATTGTTCAACCAGGAGATGATTGCACAGCAAGGAAAAGTGGAGTGAAAATACCCAACTCAGGAAAGAGCTTTGATTCAGAAATAGTATATAAACAGCAGGGAGCAGCATAGTGATCATTCATATTTCTGGCTTATATTTATGATTGAATAAAATCTGGCTGGAAGTATAGTGTGTTGGGTGTTCCTATAATTATGCATTGGGGAGCCTAGTTATTTTTAATTAGGCACATTACTAAAAGACATCAAAGAGGTTGAACTCTTGGTTCTATTTTGTATGCTATTTTATGCAACAATAAAAAAAAGAAACTAGTTTTAATTTTAAAATTTCAGTAAAGGTTAGCAATTATGTGAGAATAAAAGGACTGCTTTATTTGCCTATGTATACATGTGTGCGCATTTATGTGAGTATTTGCATGTATGTATGTGTATGAATGCATGCATGTATAAACACCACAATGTAGAAATTAAGTAGCTAAGCCATCACATGTATTTTGAGGTATTACACATAAGGATAATAAAAATAGTTGTTTTTTGGTTGTTTAAATTTAAACTGTTCTCCACTGAGCTTTTGTAGTAGTTCTATAAAAGTTTTACAGAAAACTGTCCCTGTTTTACGCTTTCTTTTATTCTAAATCATGTGTTCAACACTGTCATTGTTGAGCCAAATACTTATGAGATGATGCAAGGAGGAATGTGGGTCAGAGGCATTGGAGAGGATTTTAGCAGGTTCTTTGATCTCACCCAGCACAAGCTATAGGAATTCTACACTTCATTTTGAAAGTGTAAAACCGCCTCCAGAGATTGCCAAGTACTCTCTGTGATATTCTCACTCACAGTGGAGAAGCACTGATCTAAAGCCCCTGTTTCACCCAGTGAACACATAGGCCATCAAAACTAAGCATGTTTGTAGATGTGTTTATGAACCACATACCTCTGGAAAAGTGAAAAATAACAATTCTTTCAAGATAGACATATTATATTAAATGGAACAGGCAAGGTATATGCATTGGAAGCTGCCTAAATGACCTACAAAATGGTGAAAAATACTGTTTGTGAAAGACAATACAGTCTAGTGTTTTAAGCGCATTGTTTCAGACTCAGAATGCATGGGTTCAAACTGCCCTTTTCTTATACTGGCAATCATTCCAGTACAAGCATCTGAGTCCCTCCTCACTTTCCTCTTTTCTTACTGCTTTATAGCAGCTACTAGATGAAAGGCCCATAACATAGGGTTGAACA